GGGACTGCAATGCTATCTCTATACATGGTCGGGGTATTCCCAGCTCTTCTGAGTACACTAATAATTATTACTACTATTATAGTTTCTAACTCTATAATTATAAATCAAATTTGCGTTATTACTCAAATTATCGCTGGCTGTACTCCGTCATAAATATGCAGCCAAATGTAATACATCAAAAGGTTTGTATACATAAAGCACCGGCACGTTAAATTGATTGTTCAGAAGGAACTAGTCCGTAGAGCATTTAAATATTTTTAATTTCAGGGATGTGGCGTAAAAGAAGAAAAAAGAAATTTTGTCAAAATTAGGTTTCCCAAAAAAACAGTGGCCTAAAACCGGTGGTCGTTATTTAGAACTGAGATTCAGTGCTTCGTCAGGCGCCTGTAAATGGTAACCAGCCGGCCTCGCATTTAATACAGTAGCTGTCGGTAGTCTGAGTCGATCCAGGATTTCCAGCGATGAGCGGCCTACCAAATCTGTATATTCCTGAGAAGACCCTCGATCAGCTGTGTCGCGCAACACTGAAACTTAAACATACTTCAGTAACTTATTCATTTTCTCTTATTCTGCAAGACAGCCCACTAAAATTCTACCGAAACATTGATCAGTTCCTGTTTTTAGTAATAACGGAGGCATTTTGAGAATTAAAGTGGCAAAGTCGCATATGCAAAATGGTTATGTAAAGTGCATTCATACCAAACTAGGTTATATTATGGTGCATCAACTGATTATTGAATGGCACATCTGACAAGTTGGTATACTATAATACAAGCTAATTATGTATGAGTGCAAGTGGACGATAAGCCCTGTAAATTCCCGGCGTACAGGCACTGCTAGTGTCACTGTATTCTACTGCTCGTGGGCCGCTGCCTCCAGAGTACACAGTGAAGCAACTTAAACTGAACCCCACAGAAGCACCACTTTGCTAATAAATCTTAATAATTTTCAAATGAAAAAAGTATTCTTCCCGTTTTGACAAAATATTCGCTTACGAAAATAATCCAAAAATGCTTAACAAAGAAAGTGACAAACCTCGATGACCCCGAGTTTCATCCGCATGATGGCTTTCGCGATGTCTGCGACGATCCACCTTCCGCTGAAATGTCCTACCGCAGATGTCACATGCAAACGGCTTATAGCCAGTATGTTTTCGGGTGTGCGTAATCAGATTGGATGACTGCGAAAAAGCTTTACCACATACCGTACACTTGTGAGGCTTCTCACCTGGAATAATTAATTTTAGTTTGTCCTTAAATAAACCAATTTGTGCAAACTGAAAAAACTCTGTGAAGAGAGTGTGCACGTATGCAAGTATTTGTGTCTAAATTATTCAATTACAAAACCATAAAAGTTGAGGGGTAAAATTTTACGAACATATCCGACGGATTTTTAAGTTAAAGTCATATTACATTTCTTTTTGTATCCTGATCTGCATAATCGAAGATTCTAAACAAATCACGAATTTAAGCCACAAACTGAAAATTTCAAAGCGCTGTTTAGATGAATAATTTGAAGCAGACAAACTAAACTCAGATTCTAAAGCCCACTCTAACTCAGACTGTAGCACGCCCACTTTAGCATAACTTTAGTATAATAAGACAGAAAGCTAAAACCCCAAAATTTCAGTCTCCCAGCTTTCTTGATTGCTGAGTTGAAAGTGAGTGGCAAAGTTCACTCACTTTCGAATACACACACACACACACACGCACACACACAGAGGCGACCTCTCGACAATGTGCATTTTGGCTCGCTGTAGCTGCGTTATAGCACTCTACAGCAGAAACGCATAAAAATTAGAAATTCTTATCATAAAGCCATGTAGCTGTGAATTCACATCTTTAATGAAATACATTTTTTGCTAGCGATATCTAAAGAATGGAAAAAATTCTGGCTCGCCTTCGTAATTTTCTAACTTTATGATGAAACTTGCCTTACAGTGCAGGCTTATTTGCTAAAAAGAAATCACATCTTAAAAAAAATTAATAATCGCAGAATTCAATAAGCCAAGAAAGAAAACGTCAAAATATACGTCAGAACTTGCTGTACACACAAATTCGTCCAAAAAATTTCACCTAGAAGCATTTTTGAGACAGCGTAAAGAATCATCATTTTTTTGTACAGAGTTGTGTACAAAAAATGATGATTTTTAATGTCGTCACAAAAATTCAACAAATTCAAAATTTTAAAGCAATTTTGATTGACAGAATTAATTGTTAGACTATGACTTTTGTCAACAATAAATAAGGATAATTTCGGTAATTGCCACTCTTAATTTCTTGAAAGTGCTTACAACTATATACAACTGCGTTTGCGGAAAGGAAAGCCTGGTAGCCCATTCAACTCTGATTTAATTAATTTGTTTTAGAATTTTGTTTTTGGAAGAACGGATCGGCCTGTTGCAATTGCAATCGAATTTGCATGTAAAATTGGATACCGAAATGTCGCATAAATCATGGAATTTTTGGAATTTATTTCGCACAAGCTACTGAATTTTGCAAAAAATTACTCACTTCCAGGAATTAATACGCTAATCAGAGATCATTTTCACGAGTCGGCAGTTAGCTCATTGATCGAAAAGTAATATGTTCGGTTTAGGTGAAAAAAGAGATGAAGGAATTTTTCCAAGAAGCTTTGATGAAAATGGACAAGCAGTAGTCAACAATTATCATTTGCGTAATGATAGCTCATCTAATTTGCATACTGATTTTCGGTACTTTCTTGAATGACTGACTTATTTACATTATTACTTT